AAAAAAAAAAAAAAATCTTTTTAAGGTAAAACCTCCTGAAGATAACAATGGAAGTACTGGTTTATGAGAAAATACAGGGATAGCAAATACAAATATTTGCTTTAATATCCTTCTATTTTAGTACTTGGTTTTCACTTAGAGTGTGTGACATACAATCTGTGTGACACAGACATTAATATTTCTCATAACTACCCTGTGGTATGTCCCAAAGACCAGGTTTGCATTAAATACGCTTTGACAAGTCATCCCCTTTAAATGCTGCTCTCTTTATAAAAGGAGAAGCTTATTACCATTGGATTTGAATCTGCTATGAGATCCCGTAGAGAATCCAGAAATCCCTGATCTTCTACCATTTGGGCATTGATATCATGGAGTTTTGCCACACAGACTGCTGCTGTTTTCCGAACATAGGGATCTTCATCCTTTAAGCACTTGCGGAGGGGCTCACAGAGATATTCTGTAATTTTGTCCACCCGGATGCATCCCATGGTTCTGACTGCCAAGGCCCGAATCAAAGGATTAGGATCTTCACAGTCCTACAGAAAACAATCATCAACAACTATAGGTATACATGATGATACAGTACAAGCAGTACACGGAGGAGGAACATTCTTTTAAATTACCTTACATTAGAACATTTCTTTAAACCACATAATCCCATGCAGAGCTCTAACTTACAAAAACTATACACTTAAATCATTTCTAATTATATACTCCATCTATGACCTACCAGACAGGTAGAATGAACTGTTCTCTCCTGACTCTGTATAATATAGCTAATCAAAGGTGAAGAACAAAAAGTCCATGAAAAGAAAGAAAGCATACTGGTTATTTTCCAAAACATTTTAAACAGAAGCTAATTTTAGAAATGCTGTCTGATATTTTTTAATGTAGACTAAGCTTGAGACAGAAAAAACAAGTTAAAAAAAGCATTATTGGGAACAAGTCCATTATGTTTATCAAATCTAATGATAGAAAAAAATCTGAATATTCAATAGCATTAAAGAAATTTTTTAATTATCAATTTTGATAATTTATCAATTTATCAACGTGACAATGGTACTGTGGTTATGTTTAAATAAGATACCTTATTCTGACAAGTATAAGGATGAAATTTTATGATGTTTAGGATTTGCTTAAAAATTATCTGGCAGGAAAGGGTGGGAGTGAGGAAAGTATACACGGGAAGGATATAGTAAACAGCCATGTGTCAGTACTGTTAAAACTTGCAAGATGGGGCAGTGCCTATGGCTCAAAGGAGTAGGGCACCGGCCCCATATGCCAGAGGTGGCAGGTTCAAAACCAGCCCTGGCCAAAAAAACTGCAAAACTTGCAAGATAAACATTTCGGAGTTCCCTCTATTCCCTCTATTTGAATATGTTTAAAATTTTCCATAACAAAAAAATTTAATCAAATGTTGCAAGACTGATTAAATGATAAAATAAAAATAGTACTGCCTGCAATTTCCATTACTTTTGATTCATAAGCATAATTTCTACAAAGATAAATAATCCAGGCTTATTGATATTACGAAGATATGGCCAACCTCTGTCAGCCACAGAAGGTAACACAGTGAGGTTTCACTTGGCTTTTTTCTGCTTATCTGCACCAAGGATGTACCAACCCCTTAAAAAGGTTCACCATATGGTTTGAATTTCCCTGGATGACAGGCACTGGCATACAGAATCCTTAAAACATGAACCTTCTGGCTTAGTGCCTGTAGCACAGTGGTTATGGTGCCGGCCACATACACTGAGACTGGCAGGTTCGAACCCAGCCCGGGCCAGCTAAACAACAATAATAACTACAAAAAAAAAAAAAAAGAAAAATAGCCAGGCGTTGCGGTGGGCTCCTATGGCCCTAGCCACTTGGAAGGCTGAGGCAGAAGCACTGCCTGAGCCCAGTTTGAGGTTGCTGTGAGCTGTAACGCTACAGCACTCTATCAACAGTGAATAGGAAGACTCTGTTTCAAAAAAAAAACAAAAACAACAAAAAAAAAGAACCTTCTTAGTCATTGCCAATACTTCCCTAAAGATCTTCCTTTAGAACAAAGGTTGCTCACATGCAATACAGACACTAACTATAGCAAAAGTCACTTGTGAAATGAAGTCTTGAGTCCTTGAGAAAAGTTACCTTCACAAAGCTATTGACAGCCATGATGGCCATGTCTGGCTGACTCTTGGCATAGTTCATAAGGTAGAGATAGACAAGCTTCTTTAATTCCAGATTGTCAGTCTGCATACAGTTCACCACATCTGGAAAGAGAGAGCTGGGAAGAGAGAGGGACAGAGAAAGGGAAAGTAAGCAGATGTTGCTGTCAAGCTATTGGACAGAACATGAAGAAATGGCCTTAACAGAGTAATTTGATACAAGGACAACTGTCTCACAGTGATAATTATTATCAGGGAAATTAATTGCTAAAGAAATTATAGTACTGGTCCCAACATGGTCTGGAAAGCACTTTATATCATGAAAAATTTCAAACAGACGAAAGCAGAGAGTGCAGAGTAATGAACTCAATGTACACATCACATACAAATGTTCACATACACCCAATCTTGTTTCATATCTATCCTCCACCTGTTGCCCCACCCCTGTCTTCACCTCATCCCATTGCTCTGGATTATTTTAAAATAAATCCTAGACATCATACCATTTCATCTGTAATATTTTAATGTGTACCTTTAGGGATCTTTGTTTAAAAGTCATTACCTTTATCACACCAAATTCAGTGGAATTATTTTTTTAACATTACACATTCAGACAAATGAAAATTTGAGAGTAATCAAATATAAAAGGAGTTTATACCTTTCTCAACTTCTAGTTATTTTATAATTTATCATTCTCCTATAAGCCACAAGAAAGAAATTCATGTTTTCAATTACCACCAGCTTGGAAGGGTTAAGCTTGTCAGATTCTAGAATGTAAGCTGTATTTTTAAAATATAGGTTAACTAAAATTTTACAGGAAGTTAGCAATTAATCTTTTCCTTAAGACTTTACCAAAGTACCTTATAAATTTTTAATACTTCTAAACATCTTGCTAATGGTTCTATACCATTAGAAGATAGGAGAAACAAATGTCAGTATATTCTACAGAAAAGTAAGAAAATGACTAAAATATCTGGTCACATGTTATAAGTCCCATACACACAAAAACAGAGTATAGAAGTAGAAATCATGAAATTATTTCCAAAAGGAAGCTGGACTGCAAAGTCAAAGAATCTACTATATCTCTAATGAACCAGTGACTTCCGTCCTAGAAGGGAAACGATTTGTTTCACTTGTATGTATGGTACCCTGTGTAGTTGCCTGAACAGGTAGGTAGATACTTAATAAACACTAATTAACAGTCTCCTAAAATGAGATTAGGAGAATAACATATGTGCAGAACAACCCAAAAAACCAATAAATGAATGTGAAACATCAAACCAATGGTAAATCCTAAGATCCTAAATAATTTAATTCTAACAGCCTGAACAAGATCAAGAAGACTTCATAGCCAAAATTCTAGAGGTAAAAACTGTTAGGTACCAATCTATAAAACTAGAAACTTGAACTTTCCAAATATGGAGACCACTAGAAACATGTGGCTACTGAACACTCACAATGCAGCTAATCTTGAACTGGGATGTGATGTAAATACAAAACACACATTAGAATTTGAAGGCTCTGGCCAGGTGAGGTGGCTCTTGCCTATACTCCTAGCAATCTGGGAGGCTGAGGCAGGTGGATCACCTGAGCTCAAGAATTCAAGACCAGCCTGAGCAAGAGCAGGACCCTGTCTCTAAAAAATAGCTGGGCATTGTTGTAGGCACGTGTAGTCCTAGCTAAATGGGAGGCTGAGGCAAGAAAAGCTCTTTGAGCCCAAGAGTTTGAGGTTGCTGTGAAATGTAAAATGTAATGCCACAGCACTCTATCAAGGGTGACAAACTGAGACAATATCCCAAAAAAAAAAAAGCAGGCCTGGCATGGTGGCTCATGCCTATAATCCTAGCACTCTGGGAGGCTAAGGAGGGTGGATTGCCCTGAGCTCAGAGGTTTGAGACCAGTCTAAGCCAGAGTGAGACTGACTCCTCTCTACAAAAAAAGAGCCAGATGTTGTGGCAGGCACCTATAGTCCCAGCTACTTGGGAGGCTGAGGCAAGAGAATTGCTTAAGCTCAAGAGTTGGAGGTTGCTATGAGCTATCACGCCATGGCACTCTACCAAGGGCCACAAAGTGAGACTCTGTCTCAATAAAAAAATAAAAAATAATTTTAAAAAAGCACCTGAAGGCTTAGTATGAAAAATATCTCAATAATACTTATGTAGATTACTTGCTTTAATATTTTATACATATTGGGTTAAGTAATTTATTACTAAAGTTAGTTTTATGTGTTT